TCCAAACCTGGCCTTAGTGGCGTAGGCATTTAGGGGATAGTTTGAGCCCTCAATGACGAGAGCCCCCAAATGTGTCATGTATAATGGCATAGTCTATGGTGGGAACATTGACGCCAACAAGATCAGAAAAATGTGGAAATGCTAGCGAACATGGACATTTGTTAGGGTCCGGGGGAGGCATATTGCTACTTATGTTGTGGCGCCACTTCCATGAAGTTGCAGAACTGGACGCAAATGGGTGACACCATCTTGTCACAGATGTGCATCTACATGGCAAGAGGAGGTCGTCAATGTAGTTCAACGACTTCTGGTAACCGTAGGACGCTCCGTAATTGTCTAGCCTGAGCAACCCGATGCATGAGTACGACCTTAATAAAGTTAGAGAACGGCATCCTATCATGAGCAAGGCTGGACTACAATTGACTTAAATATTGTAGACCTGTGGCCATGCACTCTGGATAAAGAAAGTTACTGTGACTTCATCATTTGAAACATTGTTTTGAAGCCAGTGCAATGTGCAATAACTGTGAGCGCCAAGCGGACATGGCTTGGGAGAGCGTACGCGAATCAATCTGCATTATTCGCCAATGTAATTGCATGACGCAAGATCGAGCGCACAAGACAGTGAGGGTCAAGAGCAAGGGTAATTGAGAACGGTCTGCCAGTAGGACGTTTGAGCAGAGGGGCGGGTCATGGATGGAGGATTTGGACAGCCTCGAGGGTGCACCCACCTGTTTGACCAATGAGACTGTGTAAACGACGGTAATCGTCCCCCTGTGGGAAGACACTATTGGACCCCTGAGAGTATAGGGTGGCCAAGCGTCAAACCCAAAACCCTTCTCAGAGCGTAGCTGAATCCTTGAACAATGTTGAGTTGAGGGTGTGAAACAGCGATTGCCTTGCCATGGAGTGATAAAGATGAGACTGGTATGAATGATCAGTTTGGGATGAGCAGTGAGAGTCCCAATGCTGTCACAGGCGGTCGTCAGCAGAGTACATAGTACGTAGTCTGCCCAAGATATGTGCAGCCAGAAGGTATGTGAATAATGGTGTAACATCTACAACCAAGAGAGTATCCATTCCTGGGTGAATAGGGCTCTGATAATACAGCGTAATTGCTACCCAAGCTGCTTGCATGAGCTGCAGCTGCGACATAGTGAAGCTGCTTTTTGATCCAGTACCCTGCATTATGTAAGACGTGCTCCAAACCTGATATGTGGGCCAATCAACCCCAGCAGTCTGCCACACATAGCAGGCATAAGGGGAAGAATGAGGGAGGTTGGCGAAAAGGGGGCTTGCGGGGAAAAGAGGGTGGTGTTGTTTGTGCCATGCCACGGGCACAAGAATCCCGCTGCCAATCCCTTTCCTGATTAACGCTTGGTATTTCCGACATCATAAGAGATCCACTAGGCAATGTCGATAAGCCGATAGAAGTTCATAGAACTGAGAATAGAGGTGACACCATAGTTTAGGGTTAGCTCGGCAAGGGGCAGCTGCCAACATCCCCTGATTAGGTGGCACTCACCACACAGTTTCCCAGGCAATGGCTCGGCTTATGTGCCGAAAGCCTTCACATGTGAGTCTACTGAGGGTTACTGCCCTAGACAGCAGGTACAATAAGATTAGCTATTCTATTGGTGGGGAGGTGTTCGTCGTGTTCGACCATCACAAGAAACTGGTGTGTACAAGTTTTTTTTTGTCAAGGATGACAACCTGCAGGGGTGAGTGAGTAGGAGTACTCCGCACCTTAGTCAGGCAAACCTTTCGGTGGGGAAGTAACTATACACACTGCGTGGGAGGGAAGGGCAAAAAAATGCCCCCTTGCGGTGACCGCACCCACCACAGGAATAGGGGCACCTAAAAGAAAAACAAAAGGTCATCCACATAGACAAACCAAGAACAATGGATGAGTTAGCTTCACTCCAGATAGCCTTTCAAATTTCAATCAATAACATCATCAAACCATAGCACCAAACGAGATAGACGAACAAAAAAGGTCGAAAGAATGACATAGCTGCACTGTGTTTGATCGAGCACTGTAAGAGTAGTGCACTTGAAATTATCCGGGCCAAACAAGCAGGATACAACAAAACCATAGGTCATAATCACCAGGCTGGGAAGGGGAATCCGGCACAAGATGAGAATGGACTGCTAGTACAGGTCTGATCCTGGCCACTCAATCCACTAGAGCAGAGAGCTAGCAGGACCGGAACGTGTGTGTTTAGACACGCACAAGAACATAACAAAATCATAGCTCGAAACAAGGCAAAGAAACAATTCACGGAGAAAAAGGTAGATTCGCATAGCAATACTGTGTTCACTCCACCACAATATCAGTGGTGCCCTCGTACGTGTCTGGGTCAATCAAACAGGATGCAACAAAACCATATGCCCTAATCATAAGGCTCAGACGGCAAATCTGGAATAAGAGGAGAATTACCTGCTAGTATAGGCCTAATCCTAGTCACTCAATCCACTCATTGTCGCCAATCTAACTGGATACAACAAACCCATACGCCATAATCACAATGCTTAGAAGGCAAATACAGCATAAGATGAGAATGACCCATTAGTACAGGTCCGATTCTAGCCGCTAGATCCACAAGAGCAGAGAGCTAGCTAGAACGGAATATTGTGTTGTCGACTGCCATCAGAACATAACCCAAATCATAGCAGTGACAGCATCAAACGGGACATATCCGTTCGTGGGTGTGTGCGTGTGTGTGTGTGTGTGTGTGTGTGTGTGTGTGTGTGTGTGTGTGTG